AAAAAACTTTTTTCATGGTTAAGAGTAAATTAAACAGCTCCACTATTATTTTTGCAAACTTTGTGCAGCAGGAAAAAGAAATTTACTTTTGGCAAAGTAAAATTCTTTTTAATTGACCTTTACAAATAAATCAAATTTTTCTGTTTTTTTTTGTGTTTTTTTTAGTTTTGATTTTCTTTTAAGCCAAAGAAAAAAATATCGATGGAAATAATACATTTTCACATAAACTGAGAAAATGTAGGTATTTTGAGAGCATATATTTTTTAATTTTAAAATTGTTTTACCTTAGTAGCTTATCTATTATACCCAGTAAATGAGATTTTTTTTTTTTTTCTCAGGGTCACTGGCACTTTTTTAAATCTTCATCTTCTGCTTGAAGTGTGATTACTATGTTTGGCTCTGACAGGCACCACCTCACACATAAATTGCTATAAAAATATATCATCATGATAACTATTACAGTATGTTGCTATGCATGCACTGATTCAGATACTTAAACAAATGCATGTTCCAGATGAATAACAGGGCTCTCTGACCCAATTCTTTCAGTTGGAACAGAAATGCATTTTGACATATTTTGATTCTTTGTGTGCTCTAAATTTAAACTTAAATGTATACTGGGTGAGTCAGATTTATTAGCTCATATCCAATACTAAGCAGAAATATTTTTTTAATATCCTGGATATGAAAGCAGTGGGCTCATTGTCTTACATGCTGCATATCTAGTTTCCACAGTAAATGTAATATTAACTACCCCCTGTCACCTACGCACTGTTGGATTGCACTTGTTTCTTTTTTCCTTTTTTTTTCTTACCTTTGCCTATGATTTTTGCTTATTCTACCTCTATGGCAAACTGTCATGCTGCGGCTCAGACCTTTAGTGGTGAAGAGGAGCTGTTGCTGCACTTCCAGTTCATACTAGAGCTACATCTGTGCTATAGTCAGTTCAGTCACCAGATTATTGCAGAAACAGAAATAATTGCTTCTATACACTTCTTATGACATGTAGTAATGCTACAGTACATGTCTGTTGCAGTGGATGTTCATTTTGGTCCCATCTGCATTCAGTCTCATACATTGAACAGCTAGAATATCGGAAAATTCTGATACATTTGGATAGAGAAACAGAGCACAATAAGGCCTGGTGTTTTTAATCAATTATTTATCCAATATTTTAATGATCAGAGTGCCTGGGGTGATCAAAGGCAGGGCTGGAGCTTCACTGGCTTTGCTCGCTAAGACATCTCTCTGTACTTTGATGTGGTTCACCAACAAATGCACTTATCCAAAGCATAACTCTCTCCCTGGGTTGGAATTGAGTGCTTTGAAACTACTAATTTCAGAGAAATACAATACAGAAAGAGACAGAGAGAAGGTCACTGACCAGCCAAAGCTAAGGGAGAAAAAAGAAATTTACACTTTATAGTCTCAAACAATCAGATGTAGAACTACAATTTTGAATGCCAACTAAATAGGAAGCGACCACAGGTCAACTTTTCAGATCCCTCATGTACGTTATCATATATTTAATTGGTTGGCAAAGTCTCTTAGATGAAATACATGTCATTGGTGTTGAATAAAACATTAGTTAGATGGGAAATAGCTGATGGTAGTTTCTAGTAAAAAATGGTGTAAAAAGCCTGTCAAATGATGCAAATGAGAATTTTTCAGGTGGACATTGCAAGTTGGTGTTTAATATGCAAAAAAGTCATTAATTTTGCAGTAAAAATATTGGCTGGTTAAGAAGAGTTATTTGTTCTTAGAACAACATTGATAAGAGTAAGGAGTGATGGTTTTCCTCCACTCTTTCTGTTTGGCATAGTAAAATGTGTGTTGAAACTTGCCTATTTATTATATTTTTCTTGCCAATTTCAAGTCTGGAAATTTCTCGAACACGTCTGTCCTTGTGCAACCTTGTCTGTGTGCTTCAAGTAAATACATATATGAATATGAAATATAACCAAGGATAAATTGAGCAGTAGAAGTAATGATGTCCAAACCCAGGTGATGAGCAGAATGGAGGACTCAAAGACTTTAAGCCAGTAGATTTGAGGGTCGCCTTCTAAAAGCACTTTTCAATTCTCAACAGACGGAAAGATTTGTTATTAATTCCTAACAGGAAAATTCATGTATCCATTAGACGCACACAGAAATGCATTTTGACATAAATTAATAACGGGTCTGTCTTAAAAGTTATTTTGCACGAGTGTGGTTTTATTTTAAATAATTGCAATGTTATCTGATTTAAAATTAAGTTCTAGTTTTGGAACACCCAATATTTTACGTAGTTATAGACAAATCTCAAATATGAACATCAAATGTTTATTGTTTTTTTTAATTGGGGATTTTTGAAAATTTTCTTAATTAATGTAGTAATAAGACACACCTATATTTGTTTTTAAAAAGTCATACAAAGACTGCTTTGCCTTTACTTTGTCTTGTGTAGGTCTGTATAAAAAATGGGATTTATCTTGAAGAAAACAACTAAACAATAGATTTGAGGTCCTCAATTAAATAGTCTACAAACAAACAAAACAAAAAAAAAACATTGAAGTATGCAGAATCAGTTGAACAGACTTTTATTGATTATCAGTTTTTCAACTTAATTCTTAGTTTAAAAGAAACCTAAACTAATTATTTTGATGAATAATCTCAGTATGTGAAGGTTTGGGAATTTTAATCCTTTATTGCTCTCATAATAAATATTGCATTTGTTAAAAAGCTAATGTTCATGCCAAAGTTTTTACCTCCAGTAGTTTATTGGAAAGGTTTATTTCGAGAAACTTCTTCAGACACAGCCATTTGATTTTGGTCCATTGATGTGTATATTTTGTGGGCCAATACATTGACTAATTAGGCTTAGGGAGAAATATTTAGAGGACAATATTTCATGTCTATTTTTTACAAGTATTGTGAAATACTACAAAATATGTTGAACAAAGGGTGTGTATTTATAACGTGTCAAAGCTGTGCAATTTTAGGACATCTAGGCAGCAGAGTACTGTTCACTCAAATTCTCTTATACAGCATGCTATAAAGCATAACTTTGCATGCTACTTATTCTCATGACAGCAGACTTCTTCCACCTGTCAGTGGGGGTTTCTTTAGATAGTACACGCATGAACCTATACATTTAAAAATATCTAAAATGAATATTTTTTGGTATTCTGGGTAGGTCAGGGAGATGTGGACAGATACTGTATCTTCATGAGGTCTTTCTGCAGATAACTGAAAAGGTAACAGTGTTTCTTATAAAACTTTATGTAACATGCCTAAGTTGTTTTTCAGTTTTTTTGCCTCATACAAGGTCAGTGCAGATGGAAACACATGAAGCAGCTGGTCAAAAAAAGGCTTCATTGGCCTGACTCTAAAATATACCTTGCAACAATATACGTTGTTCTGTGCTGTTAATTCAATGCATGTCTATCTATGGATAGCACAGACTTCTAAGTCAATTATCAGCAGATTAATTTTGACATAAAAGAGACAGGGAGCCAAAAAGGCAATCCCTATGGTCTTATATGACTGACTAACTAGAAAAGCAATTTTATTGCTGCTTTGCTTTTGTTCATCATCCCACAAACCCTTAAACAAAACACCAGAGCTAGCTACTACTTGGTAATTAGATTGTGGTTAGATTTCTTAAAACATTTTTGCTGAACACTAATAGATTATTACAGCTATGCCTTTCATCTCAGTCTATATTCACAGCAAAGGTCATTTTAGGGTATTGTACAATCAGACAACTCCGGTCCATAAACATTCATATTGATGTATGAAATTAATCCAATGCTATTTAGGAGTCGTAGCAATAACAGAGTTAAATTATTTTCAGGGTATAATGTTTTTTGTTAAAATATCTGTTTATAAAGCTCTAGTGATTGCATTGAAACATGTAGGTGGTATCAATCCTCCTACTGAGTTGCTATAATATGGCAACTGTGGAAAGAATCAACTGTATTTTATCAGTAGTAGATTTATCTGGTTTGCTATGAACAGGAATGTAGCATGTTGATACTGAATGGAAATTATTTTACTTGTTCTTTATAAGTAAGTCTTGCAAGAACAATGCAGCTTCCATCACTTTATTTTATTTATTTATTTATTTTTTTGAAATTTGATAGTCTCATTTTGGATCTTTTTTATTTTTTTATTTGTGGTCAACATAATGAAGCCTTTTGTTTTTGGTGAATAATTTTGGTAGCTGTTTGATAGCTGTCGCTGTTTCTCTCTCAGCAGCAGAGTCCTGCGATGGCCAATTGTAGTAGAATAAAGCATTGAAAGGGTTTTCCTGTTCATTGTTTGACCATTCCCACAGCAGTCCGCTTGGCTTCTCCCCTTGACTAAGTGGGTCTTCACTGCCAGACTTCTTTATTTTCTTTGCAAATAAAGTTGCATTTTCAGATTATTATACACAGTACAAGAAAATTAAATTGGTGATTAAAATTAAACACTCTTATCTCTCTGTGAGTTATCTCAGTCCCCAGAGAGAGAGGATGCTATTTTGCAGGCTTGCGGGTGTCTTTTGTTCCCATTTAGAAGCTTGTCGCTGTTTATTGTTAATTTTGATGCTTCATTTGATATTCTGTTCACTTTCCTCTCTGAAATGCAGAGAAAACATCTTTATCAAAGTGCCAGATGTATTTGTTGTGTTGTCAGAGTGTCAGGTTTGCCTGAGTCTTCATATTTCTGAGATTTTTACTACCTTACATGTTTTGTTGAGTAGCCAACAGAGCACTGAAGTGTACTACCAAACTCTGCATTTGATTTTAAAAAACAAAAAAAAATGACATATACCCTTATTCCCAATTTGGACTTAAAATAACAGTAAAATCACAAATCAGTAAGGTTGTCAACTGTGAACTCTAGCTGACTCTAACAGAAACTGAAATGTTCCCAGCACATTTTTGTTTGTTAGCTCAAACAATTGGTTTCCAAAATAAATATTGAAAAAATTAAAGCCAGCCACTGATCCAAACTAAATTGTTCTTGTCTTTCAGGAAGCCTGTCAACTTGGCAAGATAACCTCCGTGAATGTAAGTCTCACACATGCTCCTTTTTTGTTCTCTCTTAGGCATAATCTGTGTGTCAGTGCAATATATCCATAGACGTTATAGGAAATTAAACTCGGCATCAATTATTTTTGTTCATTTCAATTTTTGCATAAGAATGACTTATTCCCAAAGGAATAGCTCAGGTTTTTTGAAGCTGGGTTATGAAGCTGTTGTGAGCAGGGCTTGTCGGTAATGTGGAAAACTGAAATATTTTTAGGCCTAGTTTATTATTTGATAAGAGGAAAAATGGAGTATGGAATATCCTTTGTATTTTTTTTTTAATTCTTCTTTGTTTTGCAACATTGTGACATTGTTGGAACATTATTTCCATTCATCCATACATGCATTCAGAGAAGTTTATGTTTCAGAGGAATATGATATTATGATCCCAATGCTGAGTATTATGATGCCAATACAGCTTCTGACTGACAAAATGTTTGACTCTTCATTGTTTTCAACAATACCAACACCCTTACCATTTCCTGTGAGCTTTTCATCTTGGCCACTAAACATACACATCTGAAGTTGCCGTCGAGAGAGTTGCTTTAGCTTGCCAAGTATTGTTGCCATTCAGAGTTGGAATGTTTGCACTTGTTTTGTAAATATAAGATCTTAAGACAAAAATGCAATCAAGCAATTTATTCCATTTCAATATTGCAAACATTGATCTTGCAATGACAACTGTGAATCAATATACTGTGTCAGGCAAATTGTTCATTTCTATGAAATGGAAAAACAATTTACTTACATAGCATATGTAATCTGAGCATTACATGCTATATAAAAACACATGAACCCTGTAAGAGCAGTGACTATCTTATCCACACTAGTTGTCAAAGCAGGCCTTGTTCCAATGCAAAGTTTTCTCATCTTAAAAAAAAGACACTAATTTCAAATATCTCATTTAAAATCTAATTGATTATATAAAAGTTTAAGCTGATATTGTGATTATAGAATAAAATTTTTTGAAGATAATTTTATGGTTATTTTACCTGGAATTGCACCAATATCAATATGTCTAATATTTTTCAATTTTATATACTGTTTAACATTTGCTTATGCTATTTACCACAGTATTTTCCTCCAATGAATAACAATAGTCTTATTTATTTGTAATAAAAAATATTGGGAGGTAATGTTTATAAGCTAATGTGTGTCAATAACTGTGCAATTAAGGTGGTGGAAAAATCTTTTTTTTTCTTTTTTTTTTTTTACTGACCCCACTCTAATTTGCCTTTAGCTTGACTCTGTGGTGAGAAATATGAGAAATCTTTCTTCAAACCTGGATTTCTCAGACAACTATCTACTGCAGGTAAGATACTGCCTGCTGATAACATCCTTAAAAGCATTTTAAAATATCTAATTAATACCGACAAACCTTTTCTAAATAACTAACACTGCAATAGAGTATTTATAGACTTTTTGAGAAAAGCCCGCTCAACACTTCCTGAGACTGACCGCTGAAAGTTGTTCACAGCATCAATTAAAACTCAGCTCCATTTCACACAAAAATTTAAGATTTAATTTTTAAAAAAATGAAGGAGAAGGGAATATTTTTTTTTACAGTTATTGTATCTGTCATGTAGCACACTTTCTTAAAAAGAGATAAAGGTCAGAATTGACTTTCAACAGAGGTCATAGGTTTAGAGAAGTAGCATCAAAAAGATTCTGCTCGAAACAAAAAGAAACTTCTTCAGGAATAAGATAAGAAAGGCAAAGACCAGGACATCCATCCCATGCTATCTCATTTATGTATAATATTTCTTACTGGAAATGGGTTGTAATGCAACTTCCAGCTGTATTGATTGTGTGTTGTAATGATGCATTTCATGAATGGGACTGATAAGAGTTTGCTACTTTTTTCAAACTATGCATTAAAATCTACAATAGATCAAAAATATAACTTTTTCTAACTACACTTCTCCTTGGAAAGTTAAGAAAATGTGTAATGTGACACTAATCGTGCTGGTATTCATATCATGATAAATCTGAGTGTCTACAGCACAGCAGAATTTCATACTTGAGCTATCATTTATCCTGATTATGCTGTGGCATCTGGCAATCAGAATTATTATTTTTTTTTTGCTCCATTTCATTTGTTGTTTTATATATGGTAGTCTGAGTCTACCCCTATTTATACTTGGTTAAACAATCCTTTGTCAATGCCAATAGGACAGAAAAAAAAAGGTTTTCTCTACCTGAAATTAGTACAGTGGTATGCAGCTCCAACTTTTTTTTCAGTTTCAGCAAAATATTGCTGGGGCTCTGTACAGAAAGGTTTGTTTGCTCAGCTTTTCTGGCTTTTTTTTAGCGCATTGCTTCTATTCTCTGTAATCTGTATTAATTTATACTGGGAATCTGTACAATGAATCCAAACATCTTGTATCTGTCACATTACAAAGATAAACTCAAACATCAACATATTTTATTAATTTTGTGTTATAGACCAACATAAAATTGTGGAAAATAAAGTATATGATTTTTACAGTGCATTTGCATTCAACCTTCTCTTTGTCTGATAGCTCTGAATACAAGGGTCTTTAAAAGTACTTAGAGTAAATAGAGAAACGTAAACATGAAGTCTGAGGGTGAAATGCTTTGTTAGGAACATTTGGATCATATATGATGGAGTTTGATTATTAAAGCTTGATTATTAAGGGCTTTGTATGTTAGGAGAATCTTAAATTTAAATTTATAAAGGAGCCAATGAAGGGAAGTTAAATAGGATAAGTGCGAGCGCTCTTTAATTGTTATCAGAATTCTTGCAGCAGAGTTTTGGATTAGCTGAAGGCTTAACTGCATTTTGTGGACTTTGTCATAGAGAAGAACTACAGAAGTAATAATTCCATGTAGTAGTTTTTCAGAATCAACCTGCAGAGGTTGTTTCTAATTTTGGCAATTCTGGAGATGAAAGATAGGAAGAATTAGTTTGGGATTCAAACAAAGAAAAAACACATAGGTTCTTCACTTTATTATAATTCCATCCAGACCTAGAGATTGACTAAGCACTTTGTTTTTCAGAGGTCCAGGTTTAAATATGACAACTTTTGCCTTGTCAGAATTGAAAAGCAGAAAGTTCTCCTGACTTCAAGACTATAAACTACTTAACTGACTGGATTCATCAGGATTTATGACATGATATAATTATCTATAGCTGAGATAAAGTTTTTAAAGCAGGAATAGATAAAGCCATATCCAAAGCTTTAAATAACGTAGAGAGCACTAAGATTAATTCAAGTTGGAAGGAGGATGACAGAGGTAAATGCAGGACAGATCAAACTATGTAGAAAACCCAATAAAGACTTAAGACTGGGACTAATCTTCATCGTTCAATTGAAAATGACTCTAAAGTTAGAGACAGAACTATAATCCTGACATGCTTTATCATAAATTCTTCTGCTTGAATGATCTAGTCAAACTCCAAATGTGTCAAATTGCAAATCAAAGGGAAAGCTAATCTATTTTATCACTGTAAGCTATTCTACAGATAAAAAATAAGATGGATTCACTCTAGATGTACAAAGTTGGCAAGATGTGCCCTCAAAAGTTGTATTTAACTGTAAGATAGTGTATTTCTAAAAATCCTTGATTCAGTAGATCTATATGAATAACTGTGCCACAATTTTCAGCTTATTTGTAAAAACAAAAAGATTGTTTTCCTTCCATTTCAAATTTGTAATTCATAAAAGTTTTTTGTCCTCATGAAATTACAATAAAATCTGTTAATCTTTAAGCTACAAACTTAGAGTTGTGGTTTAGCAGTTGTATCAAAACTCTCATGCCTTCTTATTTGCAATGTGTTGTTTTTTTGTTTGTCTTTATGTCATAGTGGTCAGTGTAAATCTATCACAGACGAGTCAATAGCGAATAAATTGATGAAAATTAATTTGATTTGTCACAAATCACTCCTCATTCTTCCAACGCCCTTGTCAGAATCACCACCTTCACTCATGTTCCTGCTAAACCATCAGCTCACCCCCAGAAACACATTTCCTAACACGTATTGGGCTGCAATGGAACAACGTGTAACAGAAAAAACTCAGCTCGGAAAAAAATATCATCTGCCAGCAGATTTTGTTGATGCACATTTTTGACATCATAGAATATGGGGAGACATTCCGCTTTGGATTGAGGTATTCCTTTATAGTTTTCTGTTTTTTTCCTTTCCCTTTTCATGTGTGATGTAACAAATCACCATCTCCTCGGAGCAGATTTATGCAGGTCTAGGTGTGCCGTGAGGTGATCCTTATCTGAAATGGCAGAGCCAATCTCCCCTGATTCACTTCTAAGTGGTCCCTGTTTATCACTCAAAGTGAGGTGGTTGTCAGCCAAGTCCTTTTCCGTGGTGCGCCGACTTCTTTGCTGTTTGGAGAGAGTGATAGTCAAGGTAAAGTGCATGGTATAATAAAACTCAAAGAGCTGTGGTGAGAGAAGGACAAGGTGGCAGGCACTTAGCCTCCAGTCCTCTATCTCAATGTAACGGACTCCTAATCTAGTAACCCGTGAATCCTGCCTCGTCTGCTTGGTTACTGGAGGTGCTTGGTGGTGGGGTGCAGCGGGATAGGATTTTCTGGCAGGTTACATGCTAGAAATTGGCGTGCATTTCTGCTGTTTATTTTATCTCTGTGTACATACTTCTAAAGGCAGTGTTTTGTCTGACTCAAAGGGCTTTGTTTGGTCTTGATATCTCTTACTGCAGCTTGTCTTTGCTTTATGGATTTCTGGCAGCTTCTCTAAATAAGTGATCATGCTTGACAAAACCTTCACCTTGACTCCTGGTTGTTTGTTTTCCTCTGCTTTGTTTGTCTCAATGTTTTATTCACATCAATCATTACCACTGGGAGCAAAAGTTTTATTTATTCAAGACCCAATAATGGTAGTTAATCCTAATTAATATTGTAGCTCTGAATAACTTGGTATTGAGCACATCATGAAACCAAATTAGGCTTTTTTTCACATCTGGCATCAGCTTGAATGAGCTTGAATAAACAAAAGTCTGAAAAAAACCCCCCAAAAAACAGGAAGACACTCCCTTTACGCAAAGTGATTATGTCCTAATTGTCACGCGCAGCTGTTTGTTCTAATAGATTCTGGATGTCATTGTTGGAGCAAGTTTTTTAATAATTGCAATCACGTGGAGAGGGAGTCGTGCTTTTTTTTGTGGTGCTGCCAACCCTCTGTAGTGGGCCCTTTCTTTTCCTGGAACCTGGGCAATGCTTTAGCTTGCATCCTCCAGCAATTTCAGAAACAGCTGCCAAAGCTGTTTGAGAACAAGTAGATATTTAGACTACTTGAAAGCTTTTGCAAACATGGCACTCAGAGCTCTGTAACTTGCCAGTAAGGTATCTGGCTCATTTTTTGTCTTAGGAAATAATATGTAAAATGAAGAAAGGAAAAGATTTGTTTTACAAAGCCCATTAATTGTTTTTATTCTGATCACATAAAATTTAAACCAGAGAAAAGAAGAATATGACTTCTTTATTTTCCCAATAGAACACAGCACAACATAAAGGTTTTGTTTCATAGCTGTCAGTTGAAATGCACTTTGTTCCACTGCCTGCCCTTTCCTTCTCTCTCATTTTTCTTATTTCTTGCGTTCTTACCAACAAATTCAGACAACAAGAGATTTGCCTCAGGATCTTGACGAATCAAGTAAATAGAATATTTAGCAGGCTGTTTCAACATCACAGCGTTTGAAAATCGCTCAGTTGAGCTTTCAGGGAGCTAATTGTGTGGATTTAGGTTAGTCGACCCTTTCTGATAGTTTTCAAATGAGGCATTTTAGTTGGTTTTTGGCAGCCTGTCCTTCATTAGAGCTTGGGTTTATTTTAATCTTCCATTCACCTGCTTTACAGCCCTTGTTTGTTCTGATGGAGAAACAATATGCATTTATCAGTGCACTGTAGAGGCTGAAGGGGGAAAATATGTGAGAAGAAGAGCATCACCTCCTCCTGAGCTCAAAGAAGCACTTGTATCTTGCTTTTGTTGCTATAGCAATGAAGAAAATTAAGATCGTCATTTGCACATCCGTTGTATTTGCTCTGAAAGACGTCTTATCGGTTTGACCAAAACTCTGAATTAAAGTGCAATGCAATAGCCAAACCAAAAAGTAGATTTTGCTTTTTAGCTTCTCTGTGATGTGACGTTAAACAAGTAATAACGTGGGGAAAAAGGGTCAACTGTCTTACTAAAAATCTCAACTTGTGTTTATTTTAATCTCAGTATTTATACAGCTGTTCTATGAAGACATTTAAGGTTTCCAAGGGAACAGTAGTAAAGCGACATCCTCATGGTGACCAAAGAAACAAAACCAGACCAATCAGGGTAAATCTGGCCTTTTAAAAAGAGTGCCAAGAAGGGAGCCATTCTTAAAGTCTTTAAAACTCTTTAATGTTTCACATAAGTCATGTACAAGACATCTGTGAAATAAGTTACTATGGTTACACTAACAATGCACATCACCCTACACGACCCATACTTAGGGTACAAAATGGTGCATCATGCTGTGATGAGGCTTTTCAAAAGGAACGGGAATATTATTCAGAGTTGAGGGAAAGCTAGATGGGGCCAAGTATAGTCCTGTTTTAAAACCTATTAAAAGGCTCAAAAGACTTGTAATTGTGTCAGAAATGAAACAAAATGAAACATACAGTCAATGCTACAATGAAATGGTTCTGATCAAAACATATTAATGTGTTAAAAAAGCTCAGTCAAACTCCAAATCCCAGTCCAATTGAGATGCTGTACCAAGACTTAAAATTCTTTAAAACTGAGACATGCTCCATCTCTTCCTGTAATGTTTTAGTAGTGATGGTAGTAACAGTAGTGATTTTTAATGTAACTAATTTATAGAAAAAAGAAAACTAATTCAAACAAATGTGTTTTCCTTTGACAGTAAATTTGATAAATTGTTACTGGATTATAAAGTATCTTACTTGCCCATCAAGAAAGTCAAAGTATTTACCTATGTGTCTGTTTGAATGATTTTTTTTTTTTTTTTTTTTTTTTTTTTTGCTATATCAATGACCCGTGTGTGTGGTTCTGACTCTAAGAATGTTCATGTTATTATACATTGCCACATACAGGACCCGTTTTCTTTTCTAGCTCCAAAGAAAGGTCGCAACATGAACTTCTGCAAACCTCTGGAGAAATCAAAGAGCCTTGCACTGTTCAGAGGAAAACACACACACTCATGTGATCCCAGTGACTTTTACAAATCAAAGTCTCAGCCTACACACGTTTTTTTTTCTACCTCTTTTGTGCCTAATTTGGGGTGAGCGGAAAAATTAGGACATGGTTCAACCTGTTAACACACATCCCATCTATTCTCAGGAAGAGTATCAAACAGGTCCTCAATTATAAGTCTTGCAGTTACTTTATTAGCTGGAAAGTAATTCAATAGACTCAACAGACCAGAAGCAGTTCTGGGTTATGAGGTCGCTCTCTCAATTTCTCTCAATTAGCAGCTCTAATGACAAGATAAAGTTTGGTCATATTTCAGCGTTGGAAGGAGGTGACGATGATCGATGCAGTGTTAATCATGCTACTCTTAATACATTTAGGCACTTAATATCTTCTAAATGTTCCCATCCACCCATCAACAACCATTGCTGCCACCGTTCATGATGATGTTAATAGTCTTTGTTTGTGGAAGTGTGGAGAATTTGCCTCTTTGAATTGAGGAATTCGCTAGAATGCTTTTTCAATAACAGGCTCTTCATATCCTAAAACAGCACACTCCTGTTATGTTTTCCTCTGGTGACCAATAAATGAGCCAGTCAGTATTTTTTTTCAAAAGAAACACAAGAAAGTCAACGTAGTAGAAACTAGGGTTAAGGGTTACACTTTGAATTGATAATTACATTGGTTTAGAGACACACTGGGACTTTTAAGATGGTATATTCATACACAAACACACACACACACACGCAAATACACGCACTCATAGGCACAGAAGTAGGGCTTCCAAGACAAAACACTATTGTTTTTTTTCACCTAGCTCAAATGATAAAATACATGCAGATAGTTTTTGGAATAATGTGGCATTGTTTTGAGATAAGCTACCTCTGTTTTTTCTTTCTTCTCCTTAGTGTAACCGAGGTGACTGGAATTTTGACTGCAGTGCTCAATGCATTCAGATATTACATTTTGAAATATTGAACAACAATGTTCCTCACCAGAGGAGATTTCTTCCTCTTTTTCTTTAGCTTAGTGGATCTTGCTGTGAGGTTATCATTTAAACCCCAATGCAAGAGAAAAATTTGTAGTTTGTATGTTCTCAAATGCAATACTTATTCTCAGACAAAAATGGAGATGGTATTTTAACATCAGTAAATTAACCCCTAACCACAAGACTATGAGTCCTCTTTAATGGCTTGTAAATTTAGCTTGTCTCTCATAAGGCTGTCTATTTATCTTCCATAGACACAACGTCGTGTGACCTTCCATCTTCCGGATGGTTCCCAGGAAAGTTGCAGTGACAGTGGGCTTGGGGACGCAGAGCCCAGCAGCACAGCCAGTGCCACCCAGCCTCTCCCCCTAAGCTTCCCCCAAGAGGAGTACTATGAGCAAGCGTCACCTAATAGTCGCACCGAGGGAGACGGAAACTCAGACCCTGAATCCAGTGAGTAGCGATCTGTTGCATTTTGAGAGAGCAAGCAAACATTTGACTTTGTGTTTTATTTTGTACTTCAAATGCTGACAATTTGAATTTACCATCTATGATTTTAGATGGTACTAATACTCAAAAATAATGTTTAAAGTTTGATTATGACAAATCAGCCTTGCAAATATTAAACAATCAGACGATACTTGTCAGAAACCTAAAGCAAGCCAGCTGCACATTTGGACTGCTCTTTCAGTGTGAAGAGCAGATATCTTTTTTGATACAGAGCATATGGCCTTCTGCCAAAGATACATGTATGAAACTGCATGCGGGAACCACGAATCAACATGAAAGGTTATCAATCAGTGTTAAAACAATTAGATTTTCTAATTGAAGTAGACTGTACCAATGAATGTACATTATCTAATAATAATGTCCATTTCCCTGTGATGTGACAATGTAACCACTTTAAGAAAATATCGCTGTACACCACAGGTTGAAAATCTTGAGTTGCAACATAATCAGGCATCTTGTTATTTGATAAATGAGGAAATAAGAACAGACAACCCTGGACAGTAATTGTCTATATGGCTCAAAATATAATTAGCGTGGTCAAACATTAAGTGTATTTTTCAAAAATAAAGACATTTAATCTCAGTTTGAGAATTTTGAAGCCTATGCTGTTTATAAAAGCCCACAAGAGACCATTTTCAGTCATTTCTCAGAAGTCTGACTTGACATCGGGAAAAGTGTCAAACATATAATACATACTGACTGAACCTGACTGAATTATTCGACAGTAGCGCACATGCTTCACATTTTTGAACTGCACTAATATTCTGTGTGTTCTATTTCACAGTTTTTCTTGAAAATAAACCAAAAGCCATCGCTTTCATTTTAGATTCACACTATAATTGGGTTAATTACCACCAAGCTACAGTTATTAAAGAAAATAAATTTTGCAGGGCTGATTTTTGTAAATGTTGAGAGCTTGGCTGTATAATGAATGCTGTGAATTGTACCCCTGAGGTGGGAACTTTGTTGCAGAGATTTTCGTAAATGATTCACAAGACAGCTGTCACTTCATGGCTTACTGCCCAGCGATGTTCCCCATAAAAAGCGTCAACTTCTTCCTCATGCATATACAATACTTTCTCTCTCTTTTTTTATCCCTGTTCAAGAAACTTGCTGGAGGGGAAAAAAAGAGGAAATTTTCTACCACTGGCACTGGCGATCCAAAGCGTTTTTATCAGCAGCAGTGATATTGACGAAATTATTTTGCCTCACCACGGAGTGGACAAGGTTATTCTGAGTGCTACCTCCTCTGTTCAAGATTGATATTCCAGTCCTAGTGAATCAGATTGTATTTTCTTCAGGTTACCTTGCATCACATTCTGCAGACAGGACAAAGACTCATTTCTGCACGTGCCTTTGGTCCTTCTGTGGTTCTGTGTGTGTAATTGTCAGCATTGCTTTCAACATAACTCTGAATTACCTGTCAAAGAATGTTTTTTGTTCTATGTAAGTGAAAAAAAGAAAAAAGAATACACAGGACAGCAAAAAACAGATAGCTTTGCATACACCCACATGTAGTACAGTCACTGTGTCACTGTTGTAAGTGAGACAACAGGCCCTGGTTCTTCCCTAGCAGCTGGTCTGGTGTTTCCGAGGCTGGAGTGTCGGTGTGACACCCTTCATCATTTTCATACAGAGGCTTCAGCAATTTGGAAAAATTTTCCCCGTAGGAAGTGCATTTTATAACTTTACTTAGTCCATGTTTTTTTTAATGTACCTGTACCTCTGCATACAACAACAAACACTTAAACATACATCCTTAGATCAAACCACTTTTTCCCAGGCTGTCCGTGTTAATGCATGCACAGTGTCGACGGTGGTGATTCATGTATGTGATTCATTTAGACGCAGACGCAATTATTCAACGTTTCATTAATATTCAGAGGCATAAACATGTAATACTTCATAAAACAACTCAAACATACAGTTATTATCCACATTTCCCCTGGGCCGTGTTTGCCGAAGTGCATTAGTTTTTAGGTTGGGAGCAATGCTGATGTGATAAATGCTTGTGTATTTTTACAAATCGCTTCACTAGGAAGCACCATAAAGTGAACGCGATGTCAGAGTCTAATGTCAGTAATTGGATATCAGAACAGCTATTTTTAGTTACTTTACCACAAAGCTCCTTCTAACCCTCTCTTATCACAGTGATTTTACCAATGTCAATGTAATTCTCACTGATAAAGTGTTAAAGGCTTGTTGAAGCTGACAAGACATGATCATATTCAAGGACAGTGTTTAAAGAGAATGGAGAGATTTATTAAATATCCATATTCATATTGTTATGTAATTCATCAGTATCACAACACATATTAAAATCCTCAAAACCTTCTTTGAAATCCAGACACTTCGTAATTTACATTCAATGTGAATTCCAGCTCAACATTTACGATCAAATGCAACTGAATATTGTGCTTACTCTGACATTTTTTGCATCATTCTGAGACAAAGTCGTGTGAATCGCCCAGCTTCATTTCGTCTTCCACAAGTTAAGTCAGATAAACTCTTGACTCTGTTCTGCTCAGTTCAAAGTGAAGACGGCTCTCGTGTGCATTGATGGTCTCGGAGATGAGTGCGTTTGGTGACAGAAGGGGGCCTAAGATGGATTAGATATGGTTTTATCAATGAGCAACAGGACGGCATGGCGGCTTCAATTTCTTATCATATTGTCTCAATTTGTAAAGCAGGGAGAACTAGAATGGAAAAAAAATAAAAAAAAACAGAGGAAGCGTGGAAAGTGAACCAAAAGAAATAAAGATCTTAAAGCAGAGTGGTAGGACCATAGTTTCTGGAGTCACAAGTTGTATTGTTTTGTAAAGGTGCAGCTTGGATCTGAATGTCAACTCGCACTGAATAATTTCCTGTGCCAAAGGCAAGCCATGTGGCCTTCTATGACAATGAATTTCTCGACTCCTCTTTAAACCTGCATCTTTATTAGACCACCTTCTCTTGAAATAAAGTTCATATGACATTTTATGTTTCTATTATTTATGAGCTGGGTGGCTGTTCATTTTATGGGCTCTTGCCTCCCCCTCCAGGCTTTATTCACCACCCTGCCATCACTCTTGTGCCGTCGCCTTTTCTTGTCACATTTTGTTTCAAAAGGTTTGATTGCTCCATCTCTGTCCCAACAAACAGATTAACATAATTTGCATTCAGCCTCCTCACATATTTGACAACCTTTTATGGCATTAAAATTTCCAGCCATTTAAATTGTATCTGACCTTCTTGATTAATTTTAGCTTTGTGATGTAAAAGACAGAAAATGATATATGCCCTCCCTCACCAGAGAAACAATATTTATTTTTCATAACTGTGCATTTCCTTAATATTTTGAGTTACAATTGATTTTCCTCTCTCACAATTTAACTCAATTTGTTTTGACACATATTTCCCACGTTTGCAAATAGCACAGAGTCTGGATATTAGAACATAATGCTTGACCCAGTTAAGCTAAATCATTTTTATCTGTGGCTATGTTATTTGTCTTAACAGTGACCACTGACTTCTTGGCTTCTGTTAAGCTACTTTTGGAGTGAATTTCTTTTTTATTCATTCTTTTATTTTTGCTGCTCAGTTAATGCCATCCCAGCAATTCTGACATTCAGTGCAATAAAAAAATGATATAAATCATCATGTGGAAAACAACAATCACTTTTAAGCCTTGAGACACAGTCTACCAAAGTGGGAACAAATCCCTGACTCTAAATCCCCAACATTTTTCTAACAATACATGTTTTTTATTTTTTCCTCTTGATGATTTGTAATACACTTATTTCTTCTCCTGTTGTCTGAGTTTTGGGGATTTAGGAGCTTGTGCTTTTTGCCCACTTACAAGCAGCTCACTAAAAGCGGTTCCGATGTGGGGTATTAGTCTCCCAAAGACACATGAGAAAAGCCATACAGCAAAGTGCCGTATGTTAATCTGTAGCATATGGCTTTCAAATGACCACTTTGTCTGTCTGAGATCTAATCTGCTATTAAAATAAGCCAATCCCGTTTAAATACTGCAAGTTTAATAAGATTAAAGTTTTAAACGTGGTCCATGATGCATTGCAAAGCTAACGACTTGACAAGAAGGTACAAGTTTATCAACTTACAGATTGTGATCAGTTGTTTGTGAGCGATTCTTATCCACATAATATTTTATGATTTCTGATCCCAAGAAACGAGTAATCTGATAAGACGATAGCACAATTTGAAGCCTTTTAGGCTTTGGAAAAGGCTGTTTCACTTGGCCAGAGGCTTTTGAATCTTATTTTGTAAGAAAATCTACATCGCAATATGTGGTAGTCAGTTCAAATCTGGATCATGATTGAAGTTCAACTGTCTATTATTTTATCAAGCATTGATCTTAGAAATGACAGCACAATGAGAAAAACAGCTTTTTCTGGGAGAGATGCTCCCAGGCCAGAGGAGAAACATTGTATTGCCAACTTGTTCTTTGATCTCTTAGGCTTCTTCTCCCATTGAAGAAACCTAAGCCTCTCATTGGATGATTTCCAATGAGAGGCCTTCGGGGGCATCCCAAAGGCCCCTAACTGCCCCCTAACTTGGAGGGAACAAACTGCCTTTTTCTAAATAAGTCTTCTCTAGACCCATAGAACACATGTGACCAGCGTAACCAAGTTCTAGGACCTCCTATCCAAACCTCGATTAAGCTTTTCCAGGGATGTTGATGCAGGTCAATAACCAAAGCACATCTCCTGACCTCCTTTACTTAACTTTTAGACCACTAACCTGGTCTTCTACTTCATTGAGATTCTCCCAGTCCTCCATGTGTCATTGAAAAAAGCATTTTAACAATTACAGTCTAACACTGAATTGTAATAGTCTTAATGCTGTCATCCAGCACAAAGGTATTCCTGGTAGAGGAGACAACAAAGTTATATACTGCTTCCAGAAAAAGCAAAGTGCATTTTGTCATTCATACAATTTGC